TTTTTTTTGGCGGAACCAGGGATTGAACTCAGATCCTTGTGTTTGCCAGTCAAGCGCTTATCCTACTGAGCCATTTCCCCGGCCCCTGTACTCAGTGATTTAAAGGTAACTAAATGCAATGTTTTAACCATTGTTACCCTCTTATTCTCTTGTTTTGAAATTGTGTTGTTTTTCTCTCTCTTTCTCTCTTTTTATGTATTTTAGTACAGGTCTATAGGGTTGGACACAGGTTAGACTCATAGTCATCCTCCTGTTTTCAGCCCCCCAAGTGTTGGGATTACAGGCGCACACCCCAGAGGCGCGGCCAGCAGGACACACCAGGACCAAACCCAGGTCCCTGAGTCTGCCTAAGCAGGCGCTTTAGTCTGCTGAGCTATCTGGCCTGGCCCTTCTTTTTTTTCTTAAAAAAAAAAAAAAAAAGTGGGCTGGGTCAAGATAGCTCAGAGGCGTAAGCACCTACGCAAGCACAAGATCCCAAGTTTGATTCCCTAGTCCCACATGCCAAGCCAGCCCTGGGACAGGATGTGGTAGCACCCACCTGTAATCCTAGAACTCAGGACGTTGAGCGCGGAGAATCACTACAAATTCAAGACCAGCCTGGGGGCTACAAAAGTGAGCACAAGGCAAGCCCTAACTGCAGAGTGAGACCCTGTCTCTAAATAAATAAATTAAATTAAATGGTCAAGGGTTTAGCTCAGCAGCACAGTGCCTGCCTGGAAGTCACAAGGTCCTGAGTTGGATTTCTGGTACCAAAAAAGAAAAATAATTATATATATTGGATTTCTACATGCCAGTAATGAACATTCCAAATATGAAATTAAGAAAGCCATTCCAAACTGGCGTGGTGGTGCACGCCTGTACTCCTAGCCCTCCTTCCTTTCCTCTCTCCCTCCTTGTTCTTCCCATTTGAATATTTTTGTTCCATTTCCCAATATCTCTTTTATAGCACTCTGAGAAGCAGAGACAGAAAGATCACAAGTTCTAGCTAGATGGAGAGACTTACTTTCCTACAGCTACCTGGTCCTTCCACAAAGTATTCAGCCTGCGGTACCCAGCAACAAACCCTGGTCTTTGAGCTTGTCAGGCAAGTGCTTAGACTGCTGAGCTATTTCGCCAGCCCATTTGTTTTCAGACAGGATCTCTTTGTTGGCCGTGTTAGCCTCAAATTATTCCTAGGTTTAAGCAGTCCTCTCGCCTCTGCCTCCCAAACAACTGGGACCACAGGTACAGGAGCCTGCTCTCAGTGTACGAATTATTTTGACCTAATTATTTTGAGAAAGAGCAGCCACAAGAGAAGCTCTGAAAACAGAGGGAAAGTTACATTTATTATTATTATTATTATTATTATTATTATTATATTTCACTTTTTAAATGTAGTTGGTACAGGGTCTCACTACGCAGCTCGTACTCACAGTGATCCTCCTGCATTAAGCCCCCCGCGTGCTGGGATTACAGGCATGGGCCACTACACCCTGGATTCCGCAGCCGGCTCAGCCTGTCCTGGGGGCGGTGCTGGCCGGGCAGGTGACGCCAGGAATCCTGCAGTGGTCTCTGCGCTTGCCTAAGCAGGCACTTTACTTGGCTGAGCTATCTTGCCAGCCCCCAAAAAGTTACATGTATAACCTCCAGTCATAGGGGTGTCTCCCTTTCCGTGCTGCAAAGAGAGCTATAACCGAATGTAACTCGAGTTCCTACCCGTGAGAAGCAACAAACAGAATTTAGATCTGTATAACCACCCATCACTTGCCTCTGCCCAACCCTATTCTTGCCTTTTTTTTTTTTGCAGAACCAGGGATTGAACTCAGGCTCTTGCACTTGCCAGGGAAGCGCTTATTCTACTGAGCCATCTCCCAGGCCCCTTTCTATTGTATTTGAGACAGGGTCTTGCTGTGTAGTTCAGGCTGGCCTTGAACTTGTAATTCTGTAAGATATGCTGTCAGAATTTTGATTGGAATTGCATTAAAGCTAGATAAGTTTGGGAAGTATGGCCACATACAATTCATTGTATTGGGTTTTTCTGCCCAAGAGGAACGGATCTCTTTCCGTTGTCTGATATCTTCTTTAATATCCTTTTTCAGAGTACAGTAGTTTTCAAGAAGTCTTTTACATCCCTTGTTAGATTGATTCCTAGGTATTTCATTTTTTTGGATGATATTGTGAAAGGTATTGTTTCCCTACTTTCTCACTAGGTGAGTTTGTTATTTGTGTCCAGGAAGGCTGCCAATGATTTTTGAGTGTTGACTTTGTATCCAACTATGCAACTGAATTTGTTTATTAAATCTAGCAGTGTTCTTAGTGGCGTTTTTGGGATCTTCTATGTAGAGTATCAGGTCATCTGCAAATAAAAATAATTTAACTGCTTTCTTTCTTATTGTTATTCCTTTTATTTCTTCTCTTGTATAGTTACTCTGGCTGTCTCCAGATCTATACTGGGTAACAGTGGTGACAGTGGACATCCTTGTCTTGTTTCCTGAGGATTTTCTCTCAACGATTCTAAACTGCATATAAATTTTCACAGCTTATTGGCTGGTGGTGTATAAAGAAGCATAGTAGCCTTGCGCTGGAACCAGGAAATGAACTCAGGATCGGCCCCCACACTCCCAGGCCTTCAGATGTCTGAGTTCAACGCACTGTACTGTGGAGATCGCCAGCAGCAGCCCAGTGCAGGTGCTCTCCGGAGCTCAGCTGCCCCTCCGAGCCTGCAGATATTGGACAGCACTGACCCCAGTCCCTTTTTCTGAGCCCGGGCTGACAGGAAAGGGACACCCTGCTCGGGTTGTACTGGTTGTTGATGGTAAGCAAAAGCCTCCACATGTGCTTTTCTTTTGCCCAGCATCGGAAGTGGGCACTAGGTGGAGGAATGTGAGTGCACCTGCCAAGAGCCTAGGAGTGCTGAGAGTGAGGGGTGAGTCAGGCGAAGAGAGTTGGTTAAGGCTTTGCGTAGAGAAAGGGAAGCTGTGCGTTAGTAGCGGAGCATGCTGCCGGGTGTGGGCAGAACACTTCAGGGCACCAGGAGCACTATTTTTTTTTTTTTTTGGCCCACCCTGTAGGTGGGGCAGGTGGGACACGTGGGGCATGTGGTGCCGATCGAACCAGGGTCCCCTGCGCTTGCCTAAGCTTACCTAAGCAGGTGCTTTAGACCACTGAGCTATCTCACCAGCCCAGGAACATTCCTTTTTTTGTATTTTAGGGAAGGGTCTACAGGGTCTCACTACTAGATCGGACTCTAGTGATCTTCCTGTTTACTGCCTCCCAAGTGCTGGGATTACAGGCGCCCACCACCACCCCCAGTCTCAATTGCCGCCTCAGCACCCCCTGGGGGTGGGGCTAGCAGGGCAGGCCCGGGGATGGGACCCCTGCCCCTGCGCCTGCTTTAATCCACTGAGCTATTTGGCAGCCCCAGGAGCACTATTTTTAGGAGCAGCAGGACTTTCTGGAGGCTGCTTCTCTGACTCTGCTGCTTTCTTGAAATCTAGAACACAGATCTTGGTTTTATGGCTCTGCGTTGTCCGTTTCCCCCCAAGAATCCACACTGTTTCTCTTCCTTCTGCAGAGTAAATGATTTCTCAGGGCCGCTGCTGTTCCCTGTAGGAACGTGAGCCCCGGCTGGCCACAGCTCACTCCACGCCTGGGCACCTGCAGGCTTGCCCAGCCCGTTTCCTCAGCTGTGAAATGGGGACACGAGAACATCCTGCTCCTGGAGTGGCCTTGGAACCACAATGGTTCCGGTGAAGATAAGGCAAGAAAATTGAGTAAGGTGCACATAACTTGTTTCTCGTAAAGTTCTATATCCAGAAATTGGCTTCAGAGACCAAAAGAAAAAAAAAAAAGGTGAACTTGTTTGAACAAAAGGAGTTTCTCTTTCTTTAATCCTCAACAGCCTGTAAGACTTCCTAGAGCAGCGAAGGTGGCTCCTCCTTTCCTGCCCTGGCAGAGACTGACCCACCCCAGAGCCGGGGAAGGGTGTGCACTCCGGCTGGCACACAGCAGCAGACCATCGGCCCCTGCCTTGGGCCCTGAGATTGGCAGAAGTGTCCCTCGAGGCCCCAGTCCCCCACCATGAGGTGCTGTCCACGGAGACCCTTTCACCTGGGCCAAGGTGTCCTGTGGCCCCTGCTCTTGGCTCTGCTCATCTTCTTCGTCTTCACCGTGCCCTTCTTTATCAAGGAGCCTAGCACAAAGCCTTCCAGGTAAGACTCAGACCCTGGACTAATGCTTCAGATTTCATGAGAGGAAACTGAAGAAATCCACAGTCCAGTGTAGCCTGGGGAGCTCTGCTGGCCCACCTCTTTGTCCTTGTGAAGGTCGGGGCGGGGGGAGGGTCAAGGATGCCACTGAGAGCCACAGGGCAGGGCCAGTGATGAGCAAGCTTAGGGGAGACAGAGGTGGCAGTGGGGACCAAGGCACAGCGTGAGAGGACTCGCAGGCAGACGCTCAGAACTCAGGTTCCAAGAACGCTCCACAGAGAGCACAGGGTTGAAATGAGGTCATTTCCCCTCTGGGACTACAAGTGACAAGAGCAGTGTTAGCTTCCCCACACCATTCTCCATGTCCCAAAGCGAAGGATTATCCTGGGTATTCCATTTACTTCCAAGTTGTACCCTAAAATATTTGTCAGTAAAAGGGGAGACCTCATACTTAGGCCATTTTCCAATCTGCATCCCAGGTTAATCCTCCCCCAAAAGACCTACTTGACCGTTCTTCCTTTGAAAAATAAACGCACTTCCACCAGGGAGAGCCCCTTTTCCTCGTAGACTTCATTTTTTAAAGCATTGATTTTCTTACTACTTTTTTTTTTTTTCCATGAGCCATTCAGTCCTTTATCATTCTTATGACTTGAAAGGAACAGAAGTTTTCATAGAGTTAAAATCAAAAAGCAAAGGAAGAAGTGAGGGTCTCCCATTGTCCCTCGCCTCAGGCCACTCTTAGTGCTTTGGTATGAATAGAATTTTATGTCATCGCTACAGCTGATGCTTCCAGAGCGCTTGCTCTGCCCCAGGCCCTGTCCAGAGTGCCTGATAGACACGCACTCACTAATTTTCATGATTCTGAGATTACTGATGCCAGAATAATTAAGTCCTTCAGCTCCCTGGCAGTACATCCGAGGAGCAGGGCTCAAAGCTGGGCCTTTAGATCCTGTGGCCTGAGCGTCTTACCTTTATGTTAGATAAGCCCTTATTCTACATATCCTGCTGTAATACTGCTCCTCAGGGTGAAAAAAAAAAATTTTTTTTTTAATTTTTGGTGGAACCAGGGATTGAACTCAGACCCTTGCGCTTGCCAGGGAAGCGCTTATTCCACTGAGCTGTCTCCCCCGGCTCCCTCAGGGTGAGTTTTTAAATCTCACTATGCCAAGGGCATTTTTTCCATGGTGGTACATATGAATAGATTTCCTCCTCTTCCTCCTCCTCCTCCTCCTCCTCCTCTTCCTCTTTCATCTTTTTTTTTTTTTTGCCAGTATTGAGGATTGAATCCAGGGCACTCTGTCACTGAGCTGTATCTCTACTTTTTTTAATTGTTTTACTTTGAGCCAGGATCTCACTCAGTTAGTCAGTCTGGCTTCAACTCCACAACCCTCCTGCCCTGCCCTCCCAATAGCTGGGACGACAGGTGTGAGCCCCTGCACCCAGTCTGAGTCCCTTCCTTCATGCAGCTGCATAGCATTTTGCAGAACAGATAAGGTTTAATTAACCAGCCTCTAGTGATTGGCCTTGGAGGGCCGAAACTATGCGTAGGCACTTGCGCTGCCAGTAAGTAGTCATAGTTCAAAAATGCACTTTTTTTTTTTTTTTTCCTGCGGAACTGGAGATTGAACTCAGGCTCTCGTGCTTGCCAGGGAAGCGCTTATTCCACTGAGCCATCTCCCCAGTTCCCAAAATGCACTTTTGTAAACATTTCTGTGGCTAACTTGAAGCAGAAATACCAAGACAGCCGATATATTCACCTGAGATCTTGATGGATACTGTAGTGTCACTGTCCCAAGAGGCCACACAAATGGGTATGAGTGATAACTCTCTTCTATGGCAACACCATCGTCGTCATAGGTTACTGTTAATGTTTTTAGTTATTTATTTTGTTTTTTTGAGATAGAGGCTCATTATGTGGCTCAGATTGTCCTTGAGCTCATATGTAGCCCAGGCTGGCCTTGAACCTACAGCAATTCTCCCGCCTTAGCCTCCCAGCTGCTGGGATTAGAGGCGTGCAACACCACACTCAGTGTGCATATTTCTACACATCACAGAGAAGGCCTTTAAATAAAATTGTCTCTCTCTCCCTTTATGGTCCTTATACTTCACGCGCTGTTTAGATAGGCTGGTCTTACTCCAAAGTTGTACAAACCTTCTTCTATGTTTCCTATTAATATTTTTCTGCTTTTTTTAATGGGGGGGAATATGTATTTAGAATTAGCCAACTGGATGCAGTTTAGGTGATCCCAATTTTGATGGCAACATCCAACGCATCATAATCAGGAGCCAGTCGAACATATGCCTTCTTCTCTCCGTCAGGCCTGATTAGGGTACTGACTTTGGCAACATCAATGTCATAGAGCTTCTTTACAGCTTGTTTGATCTGGTGCTTATTGGCTTTGACATCCACAATGAACATGAGTGTGTAGTTGTCCTCAATCTTCTTCATGGCTGACTCTGTGGTCAGGGGGAACTTGATGATGGCATAGTGGTCCAGCTTGTTTCTCCTGGGGGTGCTCTCCTGAGGTATTTGGGCTGCCATTGGAGTCGCAGTGTCTTGGGAAGGCAGGAGGTGGGTGACATTCTTCTTTCTGTGGCTGTGGAGGGGCCACAGAAAACCTTTACTTTGGCTTCAGCTTTGGGAGAGGCAGGAGCTTCCATCTTCACTTTTGGCACCATCTTCGTAAAAGCCCTGTGTTTTTAAAACACTTAATAAGTTAATTGAGTAGAAGCTTATTTTATTTTATTGTTTTAAGTACTGAGGACCTCACGCCTGCCAGGCAGGCACTGTGCCGCTGAACTATAGCCCTGGCCCACAGTTTGTTTCTGTGTATGGTGTGAATATGGGTTTATATTTGTTGGGACTCTTGATTACAACTAACAAAAACTGAACTTAATCAAGCTTAGTAAAAAGACAGGGAAGGAAGAGAAGCTTAGACTGCAGGCATCCTACAGAGACCACGGGTGGGAGTGGGCGGTGGGAAGATGACTCCTAGTGTGGGGTGCTCCCCACCCTGTGGTGCCATAGGCCCCAGAGCTAAGGGGTGGATGTAAGTAGAGATTTCCAGAGGTGAAAGGCATCACTGGTGTCCATAGTGTGAGCCCCTGGGAAGGACACCGCCCAAGCCCAGGTCTTCACAGCCCCAGGGTCATGCAAGGGCACCAGGCGCTTGCTGTGACATGTGCTGAGAGGAAGGGGCATCAGAGCCCCAGGACAGCCCAGATCCCCACCGCAGCAAAGGGACATTGAGTGCTACTGGGCAAGGGCAAGGAAGGTCCTAGGAAGAACCACGGGAGGGGAGCCTCAGAGCAAAGGGGGGCCCCTCCCCCCCAGAGGCGGTGACACGGGCCTGCTGGCACTGGAAGAAGCTGACTGAACTGTGAAGGAAGCAGGAATAATCTCCCTTATCCAAAATGCAAGCCAGATGGACGCTGGAGTAATAATTCCAGAAGTTAAGATTTGAGGGGGTGTATGGCTCAGGGATAGAGCCTTTGGCTAGCTGCAGGAGGCACTGGGTTTCATCCCTAACACTGGGAAAAAGTGGTAGGAAGAGAAGACGAAAAAGGAAAAAAGGAAGGAAGGAAGGAAGGAAAGAAAGAAGGGAGGAGGGATAGAAGGAAGGAAGAAAGGAAAATAAAAAAGAAAGGACAGTTTTCTTAGTGCCTGGCCAAGACCCTTACTGCCCGCACCCTCTCTGCAGTTGCCCAACCTCCCTCTCACTTCTCATCTCCCCCACCCCACTCCTGGCAGCTCAGGACTGAGCTGAGAGGGTGGCCGAAGGGCTTTAAACAGGTGGGACACCCAGAGCTATGAACTGGATTAGACTGAATGTATGTGTGTGTACATATGTGTGTGTTTATAAGTTTGTTTGTTTATTTATTTACTGATTGGAACCAGAGATTGAACCCAGGGTCTTTACACCGAGCTGCAACCCCAGCCCCCTATTTATTTACTTTGAGACGCAGGCCGGCTAAACTATTAAACTGCCCAGGCTGGGCTTGAACTTGCGATCCTCCTGCTTCAGCCTCCCAGAGTGCTGGATCCTCGGCCTGCATGACTACACCCAGCTCGTAAGTTTTCTTAGAATGAGATTTTTCTTTTCAGTGCTGAGAACAAATAGCAACTCTCCAACACTGTGCTACTGAATTCTCATTCTCAGATTCTAATTGATTTCTAAGTGTCAAAAGTGCCCCTAACGTTATGGAGTCTAAGACGTTAAAGGATAGGAAAAGGGACACACGCTGCTACTGCTTAATAAACTGTTTATGTAAGTTCTGAAATGGAATTTAAAAGGAATGTTCTTGAAATGGCACTGCAGAATTTACCAAGTCAGACTCAGACCCAAAAGGAAGTGGAATCTGTGGGCAGGACAGCAGCAGGGTGAATGAAGGAGGTCAGCACGCTGGGGACTTTCGGCCAGAGAGGTGGCCTGGCCAGACTGGTATTTTAAAGATAATCCAGGGGACAGAAGAATTTTCTAAGTGGATAATCATGACATAAGAACCTCTGGGAGGAGGAGGAAGTGGAAAATTAGGACGTAGTTTGAGATGTTGAGAGGCTGAGGGAAGAGTAGGACAAGCTAGAGGCAGCCTGAGCGGCAGACTGAGACATCTCAAAATAAAAAAGTGAGAAGGTCTGGGGATATAGCTCCATACTCTCTGGTTTCAATCTTCAGCACAGACAGACAGACAGACAGACAGACAGACAGTTATTTTGAAGAAGTAGAAAGAAGACAGGAAGAGGCAAAAGTGACCAGAAATTTTGCAATTTAGAGACTGGCCATGGTACATTCTTCTCTCGGGTCACTTGGGCAATAAACCAGGTAGAAAAGGGAGCCGTAAACAGTGTACTCTGAGTCCTAATCAGGGCGGCATCATCTATTTTTATGACAGGTTATTATCAATTCAGAGGTCCTTTAAAGCAACCTCTTCCCCAGAAACTTTTCTGTGCATTGTTTTGTCTTTTACAACTGTTTTCCAAGATTAGGACATTTATTCCTTTT